TTGGTCTTTTGTGGTTCCATATAAGTTTTAGAATTATTTTTTCTATTTCTGTGAAGAGTATTTTGTGTATTTCTAAAAATGGAGTATTTCTATTTCTGTGAAGAGTTTCTATTTTGTGTTTTGATGGGGATTGCATTGACTCTGTAGATTACTTGAGGTGGTATGGACATTTTAATAATATTGATTCTTCCAATCAACAAGCATGGAATATCTTTCAATTTTTGGTGTCCTTTTCAATTTCTTTCATCAATTTTCTAGAGTTTTCATTATAGAGATTTTTCACTTCTTTGGTTAAGTTTATTCCTAGGTATTTTATTTTATTTGTTGCTATTGTAAATGGGATTACTTTCTTGGTTTCTTTTTCAGATTGTTTACTGTTAGGATATAGAAATATTGCTCAATTTTGTATGTTGATTTTGTATCATGCAACTTTACTAAATTTGTTTATAAGTTCTAATAGTTTTTTGTGGAGTCTTTAGGTTTCTGTAGATATAGTCTGCAAACAAGGATAATTTGACTTCTTCCTTTCCAATTTGGATGCTCTTCATTTCTTTCTCTTGTCCAATTGCTCTAGCTAGAACTTCTAGTACTATGTTGAATAAAAGTGATTAAAGTAGGCATGCTTGTCTTGTTCCAGATCTTAGAGGAAAGGCTTTCCATTTTTCCCTATTCAATGTGATACTTGCTGTGGGTCTGTCATATATGGCTTTTATCATGTTAAGATAAGTTTCTTTAATATCCAATTTTTTGAGAGTTTTTGTCATGAAAGGATGTTGAATTTTATGGAATGCTTTTTCAACATCATTTGAAATGATAATACCATTTTTGTCCTTATTCTGTTCTGCATTGTATTGATTGATTTGTGTATGTTGAACCATTCTTGCATCCCTGGGATGAATCCTACTTGATCATGATGAATAATCTTTTTAATGTGTTGTTGAATTCAGTTTGCTAGGATTTTGTTGAGGATTTTTGCATCTATGTCCATCAGAGATATTGGCCCATAGTTTTCTCTTTTTTGTTGTGTATTTGTCTGATTTTGATATCAGGGTGATACAAGCCTTGTAGAATGAGGAGGAGTATTCCTTCCTCTTCTATTTTTTGGAAGACTTTAAGTACAAGTGGTATTAATATCTTTTTTGAATGCTTGGTAGAATTCAGCAGTGAAGCCATCAAGTCCTAGGTTTTTCTTTGATGGGAGACATTTTATTACTGCTTCTATCTTATTACATGTTATTAGTTTATTCAGGTTTTTAATTTCTTCTTGGTTCAATTCTGGTAGGTTGTGTCTAGGAATTTATCCATTTCTTCTAGGTTTTCTACTTTATTAGCATATAACTGCTCATAGTAGTCTCTAGTGATCCTTTAGGATTATATTGTTTAATTTCTATGTGTCTGTATATTTTCCAGTGTTTCCCTTGTTATTGATTGTAGTTTTATTCCATTATGGTCAGAGAAAATATGGAGTACGATTTCAATCTTTCTGAATTCTTTTAAGACTCATTTTTGTGGCCTAACATATGGTTTATCCTAGAGGATAACTCATGTACTGAGGAGAACATGCATTCTGCAGCTGTTGGATAAAATGTTCTGTAAATATTAGGTCTATTTGGTCTATAGTGCAGGTTAAGTTCAGTGTTTCCTTGTTGATTTTCTGTCTGGATAATCTGTTCAATGCTAAAAGTGGAGTATTGCGGTCTCCAGCAATTATTGTACTGGGGCTTGTCTCTCTCTGATAATATCTGCTTTATATATCTGGGTGAGCCAGTGTTGGGTGCATGTTATATTTAGAATTGTTATATCCTCTTGCTGAATTGACCACTTTATCATTATATAATGACCTTCTTTGTCTCTTTTTACAGTTTTTGTCTTGCTATCTATTGTCTGATAGAAGTATAGCTACTCCTGCTCTTTTTTGTTTCCATTTGCATGGAATATCTTTTTTTTTAATCCCTTTATTTTCAGTCTATGTGTGTCTTTATAAGTGAAGTGTGCCTCTTGCAGACAACATATGGTTTGCTCTTTTTTTTTTCTTTTTATCTTTTTGGCCAATGTATGTCTTTTGATTTCTGCTTGTTTTGTGGTCTTTTCTTTCTTTCTTACTTCCTGTCTTCCTTTGTTAAAAGTGATTTTCTCTGATAGTATGTTTTAATTTCTTTTTATGTTTTGTGTATCTGTTATAGGTTTTTTGATTTGAGGTTACCATGAGGCTTGCTAAATTTTATAACCAATTATGTAAGCATGTGACAACTCTACTTACAAACAAAAACCAAACAAACAAGAAGAAATCTAACAGAAATTCTACCCTTTAACTCCATTTCCCTTACTGCCTGCTTTTCAACTTTTTGTTGTTTCCATCCAAATCCTTTTATACTATCTATCTTTCAAAAGGTAGTTGTAGTTATTTTTGATACATTTATATTTTGGGCTTCCTACTCAATATATAAGTGGTTTTTGCATCACAATTACAGCAATAGAGTATTCTGAATTTGTGTACTTAATGTTACCAGTTAAATGTATACCTTGAGGTGATTTGCTATTGTTCATTAACATCCTTTTCTTTTAGATAAAAGAACTCCTTTTAACATTTCTTGTGGGATAGGTCTGGTGTTGATGAAATCCCTCAGCCTTTGCTTGTCTGGGAAAGTCTTTAGTTCTCTGTCATGTTTGAAGGATATTTTTGCAGGATATAATATTCTAGGAATAAAGGGATTTTCTTTCAGTACTTTTGAGTATGTCATGCCACTGTTTCCTGGCCTGTAAGGTTTCCACTGAGAAGTCTGCTGCCAAACATATTAGAACTCCTTTATACGTTGTTGTTTTGGTTTTTTTTTCTTGCTTCCCTTAGGACCTTTTCTTTATCTGTGACCTTTGGGAGCTTGATTATTAAATGCTTTGAGGTAGTCTTATTTGGGTTAAATCTGCTTGATGTTCTATGACCTTCTTGTACCTGAATATTGATATCTTTCTCTAGGTTTGGAAAGTTCTCTATTATTATTTCTTTGAATAAATCTTCTATGCCAATCTCTTTCTCTACCTCCTCTTTAAGGCCAATAACTCTTAGATTTGCCCTTTTGAGGCTATTTTCTAGATTTCAAAGGCATCCTTCATTCTTTTTTATTCTTTTTTCTCTTCTAACTGTGTATTTTCAAATAACCTGTCTTGAAGCTCACTAATTCTTTCTTCAGCTTGGTCAATTCTGCTGTTGATAGACTCTGATGCATTTCTCAGTTTGTCAACTGAATTCTTAAGCTGCAGAACTTCTGCTTGGTTTTTTTTTTCAATTATTTAAATCTCTTCATTAAATTTCTCTGATGGGCTTCTGAATTTTTTCTTTTTGTTGTGTTGAAGTTCACCGAGCTTCTTTAAGACAGCTGTTTTGAATTTTTTGTCTGAAAAGTCACCCATCTCCATTGCTCCAGGATTGGTCCACTCGTATCTTATTTAGTTTGTTTGGTGAGGTCATGTTTTCCTGGATGTTCTTGATGCTTGTGGATATTCGTCAGTGTCTGGGCATTGACAAGTTAGATATTTATTTTAGTCTTCACAGTCAGGGCTTGTTTGAACCCATCCTTCTTGAGAAGGTTTTCTAGGTATTCAAAGGGAATTAAGTGTTGTGATCTAAGTCTTAGGTCACAGCAGCCACATCAGCGTGGGGTGTGCCCCGAGCCCAATAATGACTCTTGTAGACTCCTAGTGGGTTTGCCATGATGGACTTGAGTAAGATACGGGAGACTTTCCTGGATTGCCAGGCAAAGACTCTGGATCTCATCCCTCCCTCTCTGTGCTGGGCTGCTGGAGTGGGGGAGGGGTGATGTGGGCACCCTCTCATGGCCACCAGCCTTAAGAGAGTGCCCACGTCACTCCTCCCCTAACTTGAAGCCAGGCCAGTCTCACCTAAAGCCTGTGATGACTGCTGTCTGTCTACCACTGATGTTTATTCAAAGCCCAAGTGCACTTTAGTCAGCAAATGGTAAATCCTGCCAGGACTGGGTCCCTCCCTTCAGGGCAGCAATGTTTCCTTCTGGCCCAGGGTGGGTCCCGAAATGCCTTCCAGGAACTAAGGCCTGGACTCAGGGGCTTCACAAGCCCACTTAGCACTTTATTTTACTGTGGCTGAGCTGGTACCCAAGTTGCAGAACAAAGTCCTCTGAACTTTTCCTTTTCCTTTCCTCAATTATAAGAAGACTTCCCTGAGTCATACCGCCTATAGTTGAAGGAGGGGTGACACAGGCACTGTCTTGGCCACCACTGCTGGTGTCTCACTGGGTCATGTGTACCCCAGGTCCACTGACTCTTTGTGTAGTCTTTGTGGCCTAACTGCCTTATGAATTTAGTCCAGGCCCCAGGTTGCTCTTTGTCAGCCAGTGGTGGAGCTAGCTAGAACTCAGATTTGGGGGCAGAGGATTTCCCTTTGGCAGGGCTGGTCTAAATGCTCCCTCCATGGGCACCAGCAGAATTCTGCTGTGTGCTGTGTTCCCCTGTGTCAGGGTGGCCCTGAGTGTCAATGCAATATCCCACAATCACTTCCTTCTCCTTCCCTGGTCACACAGATTCTCTTTCCACTCTGGGAGCTGGCCCAGCACTGCCAGAGGATGGGGAAGGGGTGATGTAGGCAATGCAAGGTTGTCTTTTCTGCCCTCTGCAGTGCCTCTTTCCTTGATAAAATGTTAAAACCAGGTAGTATGATTGCTCGCCTGAATTTTGGTTCTTCTGAAAGTGCTTGCTTGCATGGATAGTGGTTCAATGAAGTGTTTGTGTGGAGGGACAATCACTGGAGGTTTCTACTTGACCATTTTGCTCTGCCCCCTCTCCAGATTTCTATGTTTTAAGAGCTACCTAATCATATAACCTCTTAGATGATATGGTAGGCTTTAACTGTAATGACCAGGACATGTTGTTTTGTCCTCTAAGACCTTGGCAGACCGCACAGCTGCTCCAGTTTTCAACTTGGGGTTATCCTCTTAACCTGTGTTTGTCCCTTCCCTTTTTTTCTCTAGGACTGCCCACCAGAATCAGGTGATTTCCGAGCTCAGCAATGCTCTGCTCATAATGATGTCAAGCACCATGGCCAGTTTTATGAATGGCTTCCTGTGTCTAATGACCCCGACAACCCATGTTCACTCAAGTGCCAAGCCAAAGGAACAGCCTTGGTTGTTGAACTAGCACCTAAGGTCTTAGATGGAACTCGTTGCTATACAGAATCTTTGGATATGTGCATCAGTGGTTTATGCCAAGTAAGTACTGATTTGTTTTCTTTTAATTTGTCCAAAGAGTTTTTGTGTCTTTGTATAAATAGTGTTTGCATATTCCCACTATCTGGATCACTCATTTTTATGCATTTCTTGAGTTTACAAATGGTGAAAAATTTAAAAATTGAGGTTAAATGTCAGTGAAAAGTACAAGTGTTGTATTTTATGTTAAGGAAAAATGGACTAAAGTGGGTTTTTTCCTTTCTTTGAGTGTCACTTGAATGTGAAAGAATAAAAATTCTTGAATATTGTGTATCAATTATGCACTAGACTTTGAAATTACTCCAATTACTCCTATGGTTGTTTCTGAAATTGTGTGTGTGTGTGTGTGTGTGTGTGTGTGTGTGTATTTGGAGGCCTTGATTTTTATTTACATAGCACTTTCAGAATAACTAAGGTGAGACCAATTCTAAAATCTCCAAGTAAACTGTAGGAGAACTTGTTGCTTTGTTCTATAATTCCCACTGTATTGAAAATTCAGACAAACTGTAGAAAAAGACATGGCCATATCAATGAGGTTGGGTTTCAGCCAGGTGAATCTTTAAAACAGGATAGCAAAGAGGCTTGATTTCTGGTATCCATTGGTCAATGTCTACTTTACGTAGAGAAGTTAGCAAGGCAAGTAAGAGTACATTTGCTATGTCTTTGCCACCTTTATTTTAAGGTCCACTTTTTACATTTGGATGACCAGCCTAGTTTTTGGAGCAACCAGTTGCTCTTATTTTTCTGTGTGCTATTCCTGACCATATACTTTTATATTTCACAAAGTAGGTACAAAATTTTGACATTTGTCTTTCTCAAGATATCCACTGAAATTTTCCTCTTCAGAATCTGCGCTATCACAGGTAGCACTATAAGAGAAATATAAAATATGTTTTAGTAATTTTTTTCATATTCATGTTTATTGAAATCTGAAATCTATATTCAGATATAAAAGGAAAAACTGTAGTATAAATTACTACAAGAAATGTGAGATGTCAGGCAAGATTTTACATATATAAAAGAGAAACAGACATTAAACCTTCATAAAGATTAGATTCATGAGACAGGGGAAAATTAGTCAGGAGAATGGAGATTATATATATATATATTTATATATGTATATGTTTTTATATGCAAGAGATATATGAATTACAGAAGTAAATTTGAATATGGAATTTTATTCTTATAAAGCTAGAAAGGGCATTAGAGATTATTCAACAACATTATCTGTGATATCTGGTATTTACTTTCTCCTTTAGGGTGCTTAGTAGCGTTGAAGTGGAATTATGCAGTCAGTAAACATTTCGGTAATAGCATAGAATTATAAAGCAAATAGACACAGAAAAAGGGCTGTGTTGTAGGGAGTGGCAAATAAAAGAATAATAATTTCTTATATATGTACCCTGTTTGAGTAAAGCAAAAAAGATTTCTGTTTTGTCAGTGAAAAAAAAACTGAAGACCAGAAAATGTGCATGATCTTCTGAAAGTTGCATGGTTGCTCATGGCAGGAATGGGACTAAATTCCAGGTCTCCTGAGATCCAGCCCAATGTTGTTTCTACTACATTACCGTGCTGAATGAACCAAAATAAACAAGACAGGTCAGCAAATTAGGTTTCATTTGTTTCTGTTGCATGGCAGTTCAACGTGGCATATTTTTTCCTAAGCTAGTCCTGCCAGCTGGCCTCATGTGCCTTGGCAACTGAAAGAGAATCCTATCTCAGCAGCCAAAGAATAAATTTCATATGTAGCATATATGGAGTGATAGTGCTGGACTTTGGGTTACAGTATACGCATGTCTTAACTTAGGTTCTCATGAGTGACTTGTTTGATTTGGAAACAAATGTAAATTATACTGTATTTGAAAAGCGTTGTGACTTATACGTAGAAATTATGACTGGTATTATTTTCTTCATTTATTTGTCTTGTTAGAGGCAATGGTGTGGTAGAGGTGATGGAAAAACTCAGACTGCATTTAAGTACTAACAAGTAATTTAGTTTGGCTGGAAAGCAGGGTAAACCCCAGATACGCAGTAAGGAGAAAGAGGTAGTTTGGGAGAAAATCGTGAAGACTTGCACGGCGATTAGGACTATGGTAAACAGGGGGAGACCAAGAAAGTTTTAGTGGTGAAAAGACATAATCAGGGCTCTGCTTTAGAAAGACTGTTATAGCTGCAGTTGTGGGAAGCTTGAAGTAGAAGTCCCTGGAGACAGAGACAGCTAAAACAGAGGCTCTTACAGCAGCCAGAGTGAGGCTGGGCCAGTACCAGGACAGCAGGAACAGAACAGAGACTGAGTCTAAAACCAGGAAGGAGTTTTCATTTTGATTATAACCAGGGCAGAGGGTATAAAGCAATAAATCAAATCAGTCGTGCTGAGAGAATCAAACACTGCAACTTAATACAGATTTGTAAGGGTGTATTATAATTTTGTACCCTTTCTACCACTACCCTCTTAGTCTGTCTTTTCATAAATAAAACCCACTTAAATTTTATAAAATGATTGGAGGAACAGAGGATGACAAGATAGAGGAATAAAGATGGAATACTTAAATGCAGTATGTACTTTTTCAGAAGGACCAGAGTGAACTTAATCATGAAAAGAAAAGTTAAAGCACTCACTGCTACTTCAAAAGAGAGTTTAAATATATAAATTTCACTTTACTTAGACAAAAATCCTGTATTTAGGTTGCATCTGTATGTTGGTAATTAATATTTTCAGTCTTTAGTTAAAAAAAAACAGTAAGAAAAATCCTTATTTTCATGTTTTTTGAAACATAGGAATCTTAATGCCTACATAAACATGCAGTTTTTACAAATAGCTTCTCCTGGTTTCCTGAAAACATCATTTCCCCTGCCTTGTTTTTCTTTTCTACCCCATTGGTTGGGGACGCTTAGATTTTTCCCTGACTTTATTTTTGTCCTATTATAATTTTTTTGCTTTTTTGGTAAGCTGCTTCAAATATTTTTGAGCTTAGGTAGATATAAATTAGCAACTGTAAAAAGGCAAATATTTGGATTTGGACATAGTCTGGCCTTGACAGAAAATGACAGCAGAGCTGTAGAGATTTGTCATTCATACACAGCAATTTACTTCAATTATACTCATTTCATACTCTACTAAGAGCCATATTCTCGAAACTGTTTGGGCCTTTAACTCTTAAACAGAACCTAGAGTGTAGACTCTTTAGAGGCCGATAATAGCTTAGCAGTTAACAGATGTTGCTGTTTCACAGGGGAGGAAACTAAGACCTAGCGACTGTCCCAAGGTCACTCATAAGTGGGTTACTGGTATTTGTTGTAAATTTGCTTCAGGAAAATTCTAGAATCTTTGCTATTTATAATATATGCCTGATTCTTACTTGGTAATAACAGAGCATCATACTAGATAATATATTTACTCTAGCAGTAGTTGTAATGATAATAGCTTCCATTTTAGAGTGGCCATCATATATCTAAGCACTTGACATATATATTTTCAAATATTTACAACTCTGCATGGTAGGCATCATTATGCTCATTTCAAAGATGAAGAAACTGAGGCTCAGGTAGATTATATGACTTGTCTAGCGATACCCAGTTCTCTCTGACTCCAAAACTCCTATTCCTTTTGGTGAGGCCAGGTAGGACAGAGGCAGTTACCATTTGGTAGTGGTCCCCAAATTTGGCTACAAACCAGAATCACCTGGAAATCTCTTAAAAGACACCACTTTTAGTCCCCAGAAATTCAGATTTATTAGTTGTATGTATCTAAAATGCTCTCCTTATAATTCTATTGTGTTGCCAGATTCATAAACTCCTTACAGATTGGAAAACAGAATTTAAAGTCAAAAGACATGAACTGGAATCTAGATCCTCTTCAACAAACTGTGTGACGTTGGTCAAATTAATTGACCTCCCTTAGGTCTATTTTTTAACCATTAGAAAATGGGATTGACTCACAGACCACAGTGAACCATGTGAGACAATGCATGTGAAAATGTTGAACAAAGTGTAACGTGCTGTAGAAGTGAGGAAAACCATGAAAATTTTGAGTTGGAAAATATACTAAAGGTTCCCTGTGTAAGGTTTTTATAACCTTATAACATTTCAAAAAAAGTTTACAAAATGAGATAAAGTAATCTACTACCTAATTTGTTAGGTAAGAACATTAAAAAAGCAAAGAGACCTTCCGTCATGTACTTTCGCCATCATCATTTCATGACTGAAATGTCAATAAAAAGAAAGTAGTAAGAACCTAATTTCAGAATAAAGTACAGTTCTTTATATTAAAGGTAGTTTTCCTTATGAGAATGTTACTCCTTTATACTTTTTATTCTTTTTTTTCTCCAGAACACAGAAATGTCACCAAGAGTAAACAGTTTGCCTTATGAGAAAGTTATTACCTTGTACTTTTTTTTCCTCATTTTTCTCCAGAGCACAGAAATTGTCACTAATAGTACTTCACAGCCCAGCATTTGAAAAATATTGTCTTTGAGATCATCTAGTTCAGCCCTGAGAAATATCACTGCAGTAGGTTGTGCAATTTTCCCAGGATCTTATAGCTAGTTCATGGCAGGCTTAGAGATCAGAGTGCCAGTGTTTACCAACATTTGTTAACTATACTCCCTACTTCATTTCTTCAGTATATCCCATGGGCTGAGATTTTGTCCAGCTGTTGTCGTTAATATTATGAAAACAGTAGGTCTAGTGAATATACCTTTTCAAATCACATTCTCCCCTTTCCCTCCCTCCTAGAACCTGATAATCATTCCCAGGGGGTTGTTGTGTTGTCATCTCTCTTTACCTTGCATCTCAGACTGAGAAACACTGAAAATTTTATTTCCTCATTATCACTCTAAACTAGATGAAGTTGGAGATAAGGCAGAGGTAGGGAGGTGATCTGTCATAGTATGAAATAGTTAAGGACAGAGACTCTGGAGTCATACCACTTGGGTTGGAATCTGAGCTTTGCCACTCATTGGTGTGTGACTCTGAGCAAGTTTCAGTTTCCTCATCCGCAAAAT